GTCCAGCAGGTCCCTCAATCGTTCATGTTCTTCTGGAGCACAACTATGCTCTGGCTGTCCGGCCTGTTCCCCCTGCTCCAGTTTCCAGACCCGTGGAACAACTTCCTTCCCCTGCCACTGTCTTCAGCTCACCTGCCGATGAGGTCCTAGAAGCTCCTGAGGTGGTGGTTGCTGAGGTGGAGGAGGAAGAGGAGGAGGAGGAGGAGGAAGAGTCAGAGTCATCAGAGAGTAGTAGCAGCAGCAGTGATGGGGAGGGCACCTTGAGGCGTAGGAGCCTCCGATCCCATGCCCGGCGCCGTCGACAGCCATTGCCACCTGCCCCTCCGCCTCCACCCAGCTATGAGCCCCGAAGTGAGTTTGAGCAGATGACCATCCTGTATGACATCTGGAATTCTGGGCTTGATGCTGAGGACATGGGCTACTTACGACTCACCTACGAGAGGCTGTTGCAGCAGGACAGTGGAGCCGACTGGCTTAATGATACCCACTGGGTACATCACACCAATATCCTGGACCTCTCTGGGTTGGGCTAGCAGATGTGGGAGCTACTGTACCAGAAGCCTCAAGTCCCCCCCCCCACACACTCTCCCTCTCTCTCTTTTTCACAGTCATTTCACTAATGATTTTTCTGACTTCATTGTTAAGTATTCTTTTTTTTGTCTGCTACTTTTCACCTTCGTTCTTGTCCATTTCATTTCTTTTTTCTCTGCCTGATACATTTTCGTGGTCTTTGGGAGATCTGTGTTGTGACAAAGGTTGGTAGGTTATTAAAATTGGCTGTATGTCTGTCTCTTGCCTTCTCTCCCCACATCCTAGCTTCCCTTACCTCAGCATTCACTCTCATGTCCAGTTTAGGTTGCTCTCCTTCCAGACTGGGAAGGGTGGTCAGGGAGAGCTGCAAACAGTTAAACCTTTGATGGGCTTGGGAGTGGGCCACTGAAAAACCTGTTTTCTTCCTTAACCATATCTTACTTACCAACTTGACCACTCCCAAACGTAAGCGAAAGCCCCTGGATGGGCCCCGGGAGCATCAGACAGGTTCAGCTCGGAGCGAGGGTTACTACCCCATCAGTAAGAAAGAAAAGGATAAGTACTTGGATGTCTGTCCTGTCTCAGCACGTCAATTGGAGGGCTCAGACACCCAGGTAATGATGCCAGGGCCGTGTTCGGCAGTTGAGCAGTTTTTGTTCTTTTCCCTGCACTTCCCCACTGATGAGGTCCTTTTTTTTCCCAGGGGACAAACCGGGTGCTATCAGAAAGAAGGTCAGAGCAGCGTAGGCTGCTGAGTGCCATTGGTACATCAGCCATTGTGGACAGTGACCTGCTAAAATTGAATCAGCTCAAGGTGAGAACAATTGGCTGAGGTGGGGGGTGGGGTGGGGTGGGGTGGGGGGATGGGGGATACAGAGCTCTGAGACTTTGGGATTCAGCAATCATTACTGTTGTGCATGGAGCATAGCCATAACAGGAGAGAAGCCTTAATCGAGTGGGTGGAGTTTCAAGGATAGGGGGGAGCTTTGTGTGTGTGTGTGTGTGTGTGTGTATGTGTGAGATACATGTGCCATTGTTGGGGAGCAAGGAATTGGGGATGTCTTAGAACAGAAAAGAAGCGAGAGAATGTGGCCTTTTACCTTGGGGGAGGGGCAGTCCCCTAGAACCACACACCCATTGTGTTCATGAATCACAGCCATAGTGAGAAAGTAAAGAACTTGACTTGGGCAGTGGGGAAAGAGGCAGGGCTTGATGGTATCCCTTATGCCTGGATTTCTTCTTTCTTCTCCACCCCTGTAGTTCCGGAAGAAAAAACTCCGATTTGGCAGGAGCCGGATCCATGAGTGGGGTCTTTTTGCTATGGAACCCATTGCAGCTGATGAGATGGTTATAGAGTATGTGGGACAGAACATACGTCAGGTAAACAAGCTACCTTGTCCTTACTACCAGCATAAAAATGATTAGGCCTCAAATTGCATGTGGTATTCTTAGGGGAGATATGGTCGCAGCTCTGAGCCAAAATGAGAATCTAAGAGATAAGCAGTGATGTGGACACATCCATACCTAGGGCATGTCCTCTATAAAATCCCCTCTATAGGGGCTAAGGGTAAGTATACAACTGGAGAATAGTGGTAACACTGGAAGAACCGTGTCAGAACCAAATCAACTCAAGAAGGCTTTTCATGGAAGATGTGGAATTTTTAGAGCTATTTCATCATGCAAAAAGACAATTTAATGGGCATGAAGGAGGTGTGAGATGGAGAGAATTGTTTTATTGCATGAGCACAGAGGCACAGTAGACAAGTCACAGGCCTAAAGAGTGGAAAGCCTAGTATGCCAAAGCAAGTGTGAGTGAAGGGTGTTTGGATAACAAACATGACATCTAATATCATTTATACTGAAAGTTTCAAAGACTTAGATGGGGAAGAAGGAAGATCTTGGTTTTCTCTGGAAAACTTTTTCTAACCTTTCTTGGCTTGTCAGGTGGTGGCTGACATGAGAGAGAAACGGTATGTGCAGGAGGGTATTGGCAGCAGCTATCTGTTTCGAGTGGACCATGACACCATCATTGATGCCACAAAATGTGGAAATCTGGCACGATTCATCAATCACTGCTGCACGGTGAGAGCTGGGCCCGGGGGCAGGGACTGGTTCTGGACTACTTATTTGGGTTTGGGAGGGCACTTTTAAAAGAGCTGGACAGCAAGATGAAGGCAGAGGAAGGGGAAACGTGGCTCAGAATACTTGGTTTTTGGGAGAAAAGGGTGCAGTAGCTAAGGGGCCAAAGTCAAAGCTAATAACTCTCTTCTCCAACCATAGCCCAACTGCTATGCCAAGGTGATCACCATCGAGGCCCAGAAGAAGATTGTAATCTACTCCAAGCAGCCAATTGGGGTGGATGAAGAGATCACCTATGACTACAAATTCCCCTTGGAAGACAACAAGATCCCATGTTTGTGTGGCACTGAAAGTTGCCGGGGTTCCCTCAACTGAGGGCCTTAGGGAGGGGCTGGCTTTACCCTACCATCCCCTCCTCCAACACACATACATGCCCCTAATTTATTCCCACCACAGGCTAGAGAACCAGTGAGGGCTTGAATTGCCCTTTGACTTATGTTCTGGGGTTCAGACTTAGACCCTGAGCCTCTGTTTCCTGTGGTTCCCAAGATAAGGTGGGAGAGTGGTAGGGGGCATGAGGTCTCTGCAGGATTAGCAGAAAAAAATCCACCCCACCTTTTAGGAACCTAAATACAGGAAAAAAATAATTGGAGTGTTCCCCCCCCATCCCCTTGTGGGGAGTATGGGTCTCCCAGATTCTGGGTTGTAGGGAATGCCCAAAACATGAGGCAGGTTCTGCCCCCACTTTTTTTTTTCTTTTCGGAGAAGAAACTGTAAATGTTTTGTAGCTGCTAGCGGCTGTTTCCTGTGGAAACCTGGGGTGCCGGCCTGTACAGATGCTGTTCTTTGAGGGGGGAGGACTTTCCCATCCCCCCACTTTGTTTTATGGGGGGCTATTCCCCCTACACCTCTTTTCTTCTCCATTTTGGGGTCTCTGGAGCAGCTGGCCATATTTTTCTCCCCTCAGGAGAGCTCTTTCCTGGACCCCAGCTGGGAATCTCTCCCTTCCCTGGTATTGATACTCCCTCCTCCCCCAAACCAGGGAAGACAGGGGTCTATGATTTCCCTGGCCTTGTCGTCTGGCCATACTAGGCCTAAGAGGCCACAAGGGGTTATCTGAAACCTGGGCCTTCACTTTTGGCTTTAGAGGCATTGAGGCCAGGCCTGGGGGAAGGGGAGTCGGGACATGGGAGAGTGTCTCCTCTTCCCCCTTAAGCTGCTTCTGCCCTGTTCTTCAAAAGGCCATGTTCAGATTCCCACCCCATAAGTGGCTGCACAGCTGGCCAGGGGCTGGGAGAAGACAGATGGCGCAGGCCCCCAGGGTTTGACCCCAGCTTTATCCTCCCCACTCCTGTTGGCCTGGTTTTGTACATATGTTAATAGCGCGGATGCCTCGGACCCGATGCCACATTTTTATAATTGTGATTAAACTTTATTGTACAAAAGTTGTCCATCCTTTATGGCATTGTGGTGGTAAGAATTTGTCAGTACCTGATGTTTATGGGAAAATGGATAGGGAGGACTGGACTTTTGAGGTACGTGAGCATGGGTAATTTAGGATTATACATTTAGAGCTGGAATGGACCTTAAAGATCATCAGTTGGGGTAAGGTGAATGGGAAGTGGTGTGCTCAGGCATCTGTCCACCTCTTCATTCTCATCTTGATGCTGAAATGTTTCCATTCTGCCTATTATCAACTGTTTAAATGCAGAGAAACTTGCCCGGGGACTAGCTGATGGCGAGTAACTATTGTGACTAGAAATTATATGAATGGGTTCCAATGAGATGAGTTTAGACCTCTTCCCCTGAACTCACTTTCCTTACCCGAGCCCCTTGTCCTGCCCTGCCCAACCCTAAGGAGGGGGGGCAGGACAGTGAAGGGAAATATGAGGTGAATAATGGTGGTGGGTAAACAGCTGAAGCCTTGAAGCCATTTTCCCAGTCTTAACATCCCTTCCTTTTGTTTTACATGAGTCCAGCTGGCCTCAGTCTAGAGGGTCAGGGAATTGAGGGATAGTGGATAGTCACCACTATAAATCCGCAGTAGCCAGTCTGGGGCAGCAGGAGGTGCTTTCTCCACTAGAGATGAAGGCGGGGCCAAAGGAGAGTCACTCGGGACCGTAGGTTGGTTGGTTCCTAGAAGGGGCTGTACTTAGGATAATAGCTGGGATGGGGGGAGGGAGGACGGAAAAGGAAAGATAGGAGAGCTGAGTTTTGTAAGAGGGGTGGCCAAGGTTTTGTCCTAAAGGGTTTTAGAAGGTGTCTTACAAGCTTAGGAGCTGACAGATCACTGCAGAGCTGACCTCTTCCAGGTAGGAGGTTCTCATCTTTAGTTCCACCCGATGTCCTCAACCCTAGCTCCCCCCTTCCATTTCACACAACCCCCTCCACACACTTACACAGTTCTGCCAACCCACCGTACCCTTTCCCCCTCCTGATTTCCTCAGCTTAAGTCGGGAACAAAGTATCGTTGGGGCTTAGAGTTTATCAGGATCCTCCCTTCCCTTTCTCCTCCCACCCTACTCTGCTCCCATCCGGTGATTAAACCTTGGCTCCCAGATATTTTTGAACAGTAAAGCCTGGCAGAGTCCAGCTCTCTGGCCATAATGTGCATGTTCTGCCTATATAAGAGTCATAGATGAGCCTTTGTGGGAGATGGGTGAGTATGGCCGGGCTCCCAGAAACCAAAAATAAGCCATTTGGGAAGAGCAGAGAAGATAGCCCTGGAAGGTGGAGGGCCTGAATATGCACTGATCCGCCTGCCCAGCCCAGCCTGTTTTTCTCACCGAAGTTAGATATGACAGACGGAGGCCCGGATCTGGTGTACCTGGTGACAGGGGGCTGCGGCTTCTTGGGAGAACATATGGTTAAGACCCTGCTGGAGATGGAGCCCCGGCTCAGAGAGCTTCGAGTATTTGACCTCCACTTGGGGCCCTGGCTGGAGGCGCTAAAGCCAGGTGAGGGAAGAGGAGGTACTTTTGGACCTGTCAGGGATCCAGCTGTTCGACTTTCAGGTCTTGTTCCTTCCCAGGGCCAGATCTTTTCTTTGCTCCCCATTACAAAGGGAGGCAATCCGGATTCTCCCTCCAGTCCTCACAGGGAAATGTGTTTATGGGTGGATCGCATCTGGATGGGGAGGAGTGACTCATAGATGGAAAGTTTGATTAGAGGGTGTTACTCTAGTGGGGGTGGGGAGGAGAAGGACTGGGAGGGATACGTCATGTGGGGCCAACATCTGTTCTCTCTCAGGGCCCGTGCAGGTGACCCCAATCCAGGGGGATGTGACTCGTGCAGAAGATGTGGTGGCAGCTCTAGCTGGAGCAGATGTAGTCATTCACATGGCAGGGCTGGTGGATGTGTGGGGACTGAATGACCCTGAGGTCATCTACAGGGTCAATGTTCAGGGTGAGGGATCTTTAAACCTAGTCTGGGAGTCCAGCCTAGTCCCTCTGGGTAGCTCCCTCCCCAACTTGTGCGACTAACCTGACCATGTCCCTTTCTCTCTCCCTTTCTCTCCCACCCATTGGTTTTCCCCTGGAATTCTGTGCCAAGAAAACTTTGCCCAGTGGGGGGTGGGAAGGTGGAGGGGGGGTATGCTTAGAATAGGAGGGAGGCTGGGGAGAAAGGAGAAGAAATTCCACCTCCTCCCCCCAGGGACTCAGAATGTGATTGAAGCCTGTGTGCAGACTGGGACTCAGTTCCTGGTATACACGAGCAGCATGGAGGCTCTGGGGCCCAACACCAAGGGACACCCCTTCTACCGGTACTCCCCATTTTCCCTTCTTTGCCCCCACCCTTCCCAACTCCTGCAGGGGCCCTGTTCTATAAAATGATAATGAACTCATCTCGGAGCATAGTTGAGGGCGACTGGAAGTCCTTTGTAAACTTTAAAGCAGAATTAGGGGGTCCAGGGGAAAGCCCTAGTCCAGAAAAAAACAGTTCAGGAAAACCTTGAACCCAGAAGAACTGGGTCCCAGGCTGGTTCCACCATAGAAGTGACAATCTCTCTGAGCCCATTTCCTCAGATCATGAGGGTAGGGGATTCCTGGCATGTTGGTACAGATGGGCAAAACTGGTCTTAATCTTTTGAGTGTTGCCTGAGGTACTACTGAGAGGTTAAATGACTTGCCTAGGCTCACACAGTACGTATCAGAGTCAGGACTTGAACCCAGATCTTCCTGACCCCAAGATCATCTTTCTATCCACTATACCATGTGATCTTCTTCTAAAAAATTAGTAGCATCATAATAGTTGTATCTATTTCACAAGGCAATTGTGAGGAAAACAAGATGATGTTTGTAAAGGACTTTGAAAATTGTAAACGTAGAGAACTCATATTTAAGTACTGAAGTATTAGACCTATCCCACTGGATGTAGGGGGCTCACTGTATGTATGCTCTCTCTCCCACATCCAGGGGCAATGAGGACACCCCCTACGAGGCTATACATACACAGCCCTATCCCCGAAGCAAGGCCCAGGCAGAGAGGCTAGTCCTTGAGGCCAATGGGAGAAAGGTAAGGGGACTCAGATGCTTGGGTCTGGGAATCTTATAGCACTGGAGCTTAGAGGGCATTGAGTCCACCCCCTGGGGAAACTAAGGCCCAGGTAGAGCCAAGACGGCAATTTAGGTCTTCCAATCCCCAGTATATGGCTTTCAAGGACACAGATATGAGCCCTCTTGTATGTATTTGTACATACATTGATGAAACAAGCCATTGGAAGATGCCTGAGATCTTGCAGTTTGGGGATATGGGGTTCACCTGTTTGCTTCCATAACACGTACAAATGAATGTAGTTAGGTGAGCTGGGAGGGGGGAAGGGAGGGTCAGGAAGCTTGGGTCTCAACAGCTACCTCTCCTGCTCAGGTCCGGGGTGGACTTCCCTTGGTTACATGCGCTCTACGTCCCACGGGGATCTATGGTGAAGGCCACCAGCTCATGCTCGATTTTTACCGCAAGGCCCAGCGCGCTGGTGGATGGCTTTTCAGGACTGTCCCTGCCTCTGTGGAACATGGCCGAGTTTATGCAGGTGAGGACCAAGCCCTCTGGTTGGAGGAGAGGGGTGGGTGCCAAACGCTGTATAGATGGAATAAGGGCCAGGAGTGTGTCAAACCTCTAGGCAAAGGCCAGGTTATGGAATAGCAAGGACTGGGTCTGGGGAAGCTGCGTTATGTATATGGGAAAAGGCTAGAGGGAGAGAGTCTCTCATTAGCAAGAGTCAGACCTGGGGAAGGGGCTGGGTACCTGTACAGGTGAGGTACAGGCTGGGAAGGGAACTCAGTGTCTGTGTAGTCAAGGAAGGAGACTAGGTGTTTGCAGTATCTCTGTGAGCTGCCTTTAGGGCTAGTGGGTGTTTGAGCAGCATCTGCTCTGTCCCCTCAGGCAATGTTGCTTGGATGCATGTGCTGGCAGCTAGGGAGCTAGGCTCCAGAGCCACCACTATGGGTGGGCAAGTCTACTTCTGCTATGACGACTCCCCTTACAAGAGCTATGAGGACTTCAACTTGGAAATCCTGGGCCCCTGCGGCATTGGCCTCCTGGGAACTCAGCCCCTTCTGCCCTACTTCCTGCTATTCCTCCTGGCTACCCTCAATGCTTTCTTGCAGTGGCTGCTCCGGCCTTTGGTGGTCTATACAGCTTTAATCAACCCCTATACTCTATCCTTGGCAAACACCACTTTCACTGTGCAAACAGACAAAGCCCGGAGGCATTTTGACTATCAGCCCCTCTATGGCTGGGAGGAGAGTAGAGACCGAACTGTTTCCTGGGTGAAGACCAGAAAGGGGTGTCCCGGTCCCCTTCCTCGTGACTGAGCCCTGGAGGTTGGAGGCCCTGGGTTCTAAATTCCATCCTCTGATACCAGCCAGGGGCTCTCCTCACCTAGTGAGTGAGCCCTGGTTTCCCATAAATGACCCTATCCAGGGGATTTTTCACCTAAGGATCAACCTTGAGAAGTGCTGCATTTCATAGTTTTAGATTCTTTTCTCTAACTCTACTGAGGGAAATTCCATACATGTTCCTAGTCACCAGGGTTGGGAAAAGATAGATCTGAGTGCTAAATGCCATTCTCTGACACCCATCTGGAGGATTTGATTTCTAACCCTCTCTACTGTGAGTGAAAAGATACGGCCTTGGGGAGAGGTGTACCTAGATTCTAGACTGAATTCAGTGCCTTTCTACTCCCCTTCCCCACCCCCCCCCCCCCACCCAGTGACAGCTGATTCCTAAGATCACCCAGGGTTCTAGATCTGGCCTCTTAACCCTAGCCACAAACTCCAGGCCTCACCTGAGAACTCGGGACCCAATACAGTCTGTTATGCTGCTTTCTGCCTTGTTCTCCTGTTGGAACCCTCCCATGAGACTGGCTCTGCTTGCCATCTTTACCATAGCATTAGCCCATCATCGACCTTCCCAGTCTTCTTGATATTAAACATATTTGCCTTTCTTCCTCATGTCTAAATGAATGAGTTCACTCTGTGCCCAACTCTGGCCCAGGGAGGCTGGTTTCAGACCCAGGGCAAAGATCACACTACATTGACACTCCTGCCTCTGGCATCTGCGTCCCTCCGTCTGCCCAACTGTCAGCTCACCCTTGTACAGACCCCCTGGGCCACTTGCGTGTCGCGCTGACACCCACCCCCCTCCCCTCCGCCCTGTCGCGACCCCCATCCCCAGCAGTGGGGAGGGGAAGGAGAGGCAGCACACGGCTGACCCGCTGGCTGGACGTTTGCTATTTTTCCCGTGGGGGCCCGGCCCGGCCCAGGGTGGGAAGGTCTCGGGACGGGACATGCAAGGCTGTGGGGTGGGGTCAGGGTCATTATTTTCCTTTTTTTTTTCCGTTTGCTTCTTGGGCACCAATGGTGAGGGCGTCCGGAGGCAGGAGTGGGGAGACAGGGAGGAGCCTTGGGGACCAGTGGGGAGAGACTAAGAGTCGAGGCCAGAATCGGCCCAGGATCTGGGCAGGCTTTCCCGTCCTCGGTCCTCTCCCTTGCCGCATCCCTCTCCTTAGGATCCCGATGTCCTGGTCCCAGCCCCCGGCGTCCCAGGCACCCTATCCTCGCTCTGCGGGGGCAAGGGAGGATGGGGAGGTGGGGATGGGCGGGAGAATGAGAGGAACTCTAGAAACCAACGGGAGAAACGGGGGGGGGGGGGGGGGGGCAAGGGCTCATGTCAGCAAACATGGCTACATCAGGCGACACGCCAGCGACACGGAAACACACGCCAACGCACACGGCTGCACAGCGGAGAGGGGGGCGGTGGGGAGAGCCTGGGGCCGTCCATCCATCGTGTCCTTCGATGCGGGTCAGGCTGGAGAAGGGTTGGGAGGCAGAGGGGAGAGCTGGATGGGGAAGGGTGGGGTAATGCATAGACACATAGTGTACACGCTTGGAGCGCGTTGGGAGCGTGTGTAGAGACCCACGGGCACATGGGATGTACACACAGTGTGCTTAGTGAGAGGCAGAACTGGGGGAGGCAGGTGTGTGGAAAGGAAGGGGAGAGGTGCCCCTGGCTACCCCCTCCATCCCACCCCCAGGCCAGCCTGAACCCATGGATATATGTGGACAGGATCCATGGAGGGCTTTTGACTTAGGGAGACATAGCTGATGCCCACATACCCTGGGGGGTATTCTTTTGTGTGGACAGCTGTGCACACCTTTCCATTTACATGCAAACACATCTGTACCCAGACAAGACATCTGAACACACAGGCACAAGCAGCATAGCATGGATGGACACATGCCTCTGATGACTCTTGAACGTGTCTCTACCACTCACCCCCCCGAACCAAGGACAGAAACCCCAGGGCGAAGAAGACTTGCTGGGGGAGGTGGTGGGATCACTGGGGCATAACCTCCCAGAACACAGGAAGACCCAAATGGTGAAAGGAGTTCTGATGGGATTCTCAGAGGTTCTGATGGAAACCTTTAGATGGGGGAGTGGAAGAAGTGAAAATGGGGACAATTGGCAAACACAGGATGGGCATGTGGGCACATCTACCATGTAGACAGCACAGGGTGAAGTGATGTAGAATTGGCACCCTGTGGGAGCTGTCTCTGAACACAGAGTGGGCAAGAAAATATGTATGTGTTTACATATGTGTACGTGTAAAAATCACAGAATGTCAGAATTTGAAAAGACCTTAGAGCATCTAGTCTATCACTGTCATTTTTAAAGGAGGGAGCTGAAGCCCAGAGAGGGGGAAGGAAAGAGACATGGCCAAAGTGACACACACTGAAAGGCATAACAAAGACTAGGACCTGGGTTTCCTGAATGCTCATTCCAGGATTCTTTCCATATGTGTGAATGTATGTGTGTATGTGCAGATGGGTGGGGAGTAGTCTGTCTGTTTTTGCATTATTGGCCTTTATCCTAGGCTGGTCTGGGCTTCCTGGTTTGAGGACTTTAGCAGGGGCTGAGGGGACCTGAGGATGGGTGATGGTGGAGCAGAGGGGCTGTGGGAAACAGTCTAAGTCTGGAAGGGTAATGTGAGGGGTGAGTGGCTCCTCACTAGAAAAGGGTTTTGGTTATTAGGTTTCCACAAAGGCCTCAACCAAAGAGATTACAAAGAGACAGGAATGGGAGGAAAGGAACTCAAACAGCAAATACTTTCTGTTCTGAGAAGCTGGCTTGCCTTTTCCTGGAAACAGAGAGGCCTCTACTGACCAGGGCAGAAGAAGTAACTTTCTTGTAGACAGCCACTCTGGAATGGGCACAGCAACCACAGCCATTACCTACATATAAGAACACACCTGATCTGACCAAGGGAGTGTGTGATGCACATACATATGAGAAAGAGGTTGTAGAATGTGGGAAGTTCACTTATATGTCAACTTCACCTCTAGCGTATGTTCCATATGGGATCAGCTAGGCCTAAAAATCCCTAATTAGCCACACCCTGAGGGCAGACTCATGAAGGCTGGTATGTGCAGGAGCATATATGTATGCTTAAGGGATGGAGTAAAGAAGGAGGGAGATTGAGGAATTATGCCAATGTGATAACATCAGTGATCCAAGGGTGGTGTGTGTGCATGTTGGCATAAATCCAACCATGTTGGTGGGTGTGCAAATGAAACAGACACATATCTGAACATGGAGATATAGCCTGGGAGAAGGCATTCCAACATCATCTATGTCTGGTGCATAATTCAACCAGTGGGCCAAAGGAGGCCTCTGGAACCTGTTGCTTGTGTGTATGTGTGTATTTCTGTGTGTATGTGTGTGTGTACTGAGATTCACATGAAACAAAGACACTAATACACATACACATACTAATGCATATATACATACACACATACACAGAGCTGCCCATCCCTGAGAGGGCATGTCTTTCCTGGCTGGAGAATTATTTATTGCTACCATAAGGGAGGTCCAGCCTAGCTCTCTCCAGCCAGAGAGGGGAATATGGGGCCCCTAGGTGTGGAGAGCAAGGCTGAACTATCGTGAGCTCCTGGGCTATGCTAACCTAAACAACGCCCTGAGTGAAGGCATAGGAGACCTTCCTCACCCCCACACTACCCTAGCTGCACCACAAGAATGAAGAGTCTACCCATATAGCAGCTGTACTTCCTGGCCCCCCCCCCCCCCCCCCCTTCAGGGGGCTGGGGGGAGGGGGGGAAGAGGAATGCCCAACCCTTGTATGAACCATTTAATGCTCCAGGCATGGCCTTAGAACAAAGGCAGTTGATACACAAGGAAATATGGTAGTCCTGATGCAACTGAGACAAATACATAGCAAAATAAAGTAACTAATTAATAGCTTCATGGCTCAAAAACTAACTATGGAGCTCGAGCGTAGGCTGGGTGCATCTCAGGGCATGTTGAGTTCTGCTGTGGCTGGCAGCCAAGGCCCATGTTACTGAGGCAGAGAGGGAAGAAGTGTGGGACCCAGCACTAACAGGAACACATAGTTGGGATAAAGATGGGTGTTGGGTCTACAAGACTAAAGCAGAGAGCATAGGAGAAACTGGGCCTCAGGGACAGAAAGAAATCTTGCTTCCAAGCCTTTGGCTGCCTGCCCCCCTGCATTCTCTTAGCTCTGTCAGGCTCCAGGAGGTATGTCAAATGCACACCCATCACTTCCCCCAGGTTCTCTCAGACAAATGAGGCATGTGTATGCACATCTGTGTACATGCATATGTGAGCACGCGCGTGTGTGTGCGTGCGTGTGTGTGTGTGTGTTATGCAGTCACCCAGGTGAGGCCCCTGCCAGCTTTGGGGTGTCAGGGCCTCTATATGCACCAACATGAAAGCTAGAGGCAGAAACAGTACAGATAGCAATCTGGTTGTGTGTATATGAAGGATCCACAATCTTGTGGAAAAATGCCTGGTTGCACAATATTTGAGTGACTCTGTGTCTGTGCCTACATCTCCACGTGAACTTGTGCAGACTGGAGGGGGAGGAGGAGGGTGGGAAATGATCTCAGATAAACACAGATGCACACAAACCCATACAGGACACACAGCTTCGCTGATAAATCTATGTGTGTATGGAATACGTAACAGGTTATATACACACCATGTGGTCACATGTACACACATACACACACGCAAATATGTATAGATATGTCATAGAAATATACATCTCTGTGCCCACACAAACAGGTGTTCTATACACAGTGTGGTGGGCTCTGCCTGGGGGTAACACACAACCACACTCCACACACACCTCCAGGAGGTAACTGTGTGTGCGAACATGCACACACATGCACATACATGCACGCGCACACATATGCAAAGGTAATT